GTCTCAAAGTGGGTTCCTCGTCATCGAATTAGTCTACTATTGCTATTAGTGCACAACATTTATATATAGCATATTAAGTGTGATCTTCATCAATTTGTGAAAGATCAAAAAATTTCCCCTTAATGAATGAATGTATATCACAGTTGTTTTACTAAAAAGAAAAAGAATAAATTACCATATATATATCTATGAATGCTTGCAATACCAATTTCTGTCATATCTTCAACAAACTTGGAAATTCCAGCCTTGTTTTGATGATTCTGGGGACGCCACTTGTCTTCTGCTGCTCTTAGTTTGATTGCTTCCAACATTTTATCCCGACTTTCTGTAATTACTCTTTCAACATCAGCCTGTAGAAGGTTGCTCAAGTCAAATAGAATGTCCAGTCCAATCTCAACAAGCTAAAAATTTAATAGACATTAATAAAAGTAAAAAAATTCAGAGTCTAAAAGAAAATTTACTTTGAGGAATATCCACAAACACTGAAAACACAAAAGAAAATAATACCATCAGATATATATTTCTTTTAAAGATTGTAAAGCATTTTTAAACTCTTCTGGTACAAGCTACTAACAGCAGAGCACCACACAGTTTACAGTTGTGATATATTTGTTTTTATAGATTAATCCAACAAATATCATCGTATCAATTTTTGGGGGTCATATTTTTTTAATTTTCAATATATAGAATTAGTAATAACGTTACAACACACACTATAAATATTGTATAACAATCATACATCATTTTTAATTTAAGATGATAAGTGTTCAAAATCATGAACTGTTACAACTTTCAGCTATGTTAATAAATTTTTATGAAAAAAAATACAAAGCTTTTCTTAGGCTCAATCTAATACAAACAACTAAAAAAAGAAATTTTAAATCATACAATAATAGTTTAATTTAAATTAAAACATATTCAATATCAACAAGTACACTGTAACCCAAAATAAATCGCTCTTCATTTTTACCTTATCAGACCAACTTTCATTATGTGCATCATATTATTTACAAATAGCTAATGTGATAAATTAACTGAAAATAATGTGAAAGAATTCACACGGTGATTATAAAGAAAAACCCATTTTTAAAATGGTTATCTTAAAAACTACTTGTCCTAGTGGAAAAATGTCAGAAGCACACAGGGCTTAAAGCCATATTCTACTGCATAACTAAATCACTTTTCTTGCAAATCAGCAAATTGATTTCTCTCTTTCAACAATACTTGACTGATGATTTTAATAAAATGTGTGTCAGTTATCAGTTGGCATTGTAAGCCTGTAGATTTACTGCTGTCCCATAAGGGGGGACACACGTCTCAGTGTTCAGAATATTGTGATGATCAATGAACACTGCCCAGAACAAATCATATCTGCAGTAATAAAATGTGTGTCAGTATGCAAAACATTGAAAGGATCAATGAACACTGTCTAGAACAGGTAATACTTGCAATATATTCACTTAGGGATAGGTTAGACACACTGGCTGAGAATGATGAAAAGCATATACACCTTCTGTGCCAGTTTTTGAATCAACCTGTAACCATCCATCAATAAAACTTATGGTTCTCAAGATACCTCTGGTGGTATTGAGGTGATAGTAAAGAAAACCCATAATCAAAATTATTATATCTAGTCATCCTTATACGAAAAGCAATAACTTAAAAAAAAATCAAAGTAACATGTATGATTTAATGATATAAACAAACCAGCATTTTGAAAATAAGTTTCAAAAATAAATGATTGTCCAAGTTTCTTGAAAACTGTTAATAGTCTCAATCTGAAAGATTGGATGTTTCAGTTTTATTTTTTTAAGAACTAACTGTCAAACCAAATCTTTAAAGGAAATTATAATTTTCTCAAGAAATATAATGTTTTTGTAATAGTTTTGCTATTATCATTATGTAATTAATTTCAGAACTGTTTTCTTATTGTGTTGCTAGACATACAACCAAACTTTTGTTTCAACATAAACAGTAAAACTCTAGATGATGGCAGTGAAGTACAATCTGTGTGGACAACAATGCAATGTGACTTTTAAATAACTCTCCATACTGAGATGGAAGCCTAAAGATGAGGCTTTTACTTCACAACAGTTCGCAAGAGGAAATAATATTTGTAGGTTTAATAATAACATACTTAAAACCATTTTATTACATAAACTTTAATTTTTATTAGTATGATTGAAAGGTTGATGTTTACTGTAAGTTTTCTGCTCAGCATATCCTACTTATTATTAAAGATATATTTGCTCTATTTCGTGTAACAATAGTTTACATTAATATTACAGTTTTCTTTAAAAACTGCAGATAATACACTGTTAAACATCAATTCCATGTAAAGTGTCACCTATATGTAAAGGAACATAAACAGAAATATTTCCAGTCATGCTTGAGTTTCCACATTATTGCAAACCTTTGACTGAAGTGAAATTTGAAAAAATTAAGTCCTCTCCAGAGAGGAAGTAATTTATATTTCAATCACAATAGCAATTCCTTTTAATGTTTTTCTGATAATATTAAGCTACATTAACCACACACACACTCCAAAATTAAGTTAGTGATACATACCTGGTCACAGTGTCCTTTGACTAATGCAACACATTCAGCAGCAGTTCGAAGGGAGACTTGAGTGGTGAACACATGTCGAGAAAATGTTTGTACAAATTGTTGAAGCTGTTTTCTTGACCACACCACATATGCTGTGGATAGAGACATATATATGTATGTCATGAGCTTCTTTTACAGTTAGCTAGCTAGTTTGCAGAACAGAAATGCTTTCATCATGATAACTTGTAAAGATACTAACTTCTAAACCTAAGAGAGGCAAAACATTTCTCAATATACAAATGAAAGACATTTATAAAAGCAAACTACACCACATTTGATGAAACAAACTTAACTCCACTTTTATACAATTGATTTCTTGCAAATATCTAATGAGAAATAGTAAAAACCTTAGGAATAATAGCTGTGGTCCTCAATCAGTACTCAAAATTATATAGCATTACTATGTTTAATACCAAGGTTTTTCCTTCTTCAAAGTAGAAAAATGTAACTGCAATTATGATACCAGAAAATTAATCGGCATGTTTAACATATTCTTTCACAATAACTTCTACAAAAAAACTATAATATCAAATGAAAATAATTTGTTTCAAATATTTCAATTAGTTTTAACAAAATATTTGTGTGAAGACAGCCAAATTTGAATGGAAATCCTACAAAAATTTCATTGAATTAAAATCTTTCTTTCAACCCCTTTATAAAATATCATAGTAAAAATCCACAGTATACTGTACAGTGTATATTTAGTATTCAGAGAGGGTGAAACACCAGCCTGTTGGGCTGAAGTAGTTTGTGCCTGTTACTGCAAAATAAAACATATATATAAAAATATCTTGCTGTGGAAGGGTTTATAAGAATGCTGGTAAAATCCCATTATTCAGTTTGACAAGAGTAACCCAAGAGTTGCCAATGAGTGGTGTTGATTAGCTGCCTTTCCTCAAACCTTATCAATTTCTAATTAGAGATAGCTTATATAGAAAGCTCTCGCATACCTTTGCACAAAAATAAATGTATTTGGATTTAATTTATGTGCATATTAGAAATATATTTTTTTTAAGCAATACCTTTTAGACCATATGCTGAGATATAGTAACACTACTCAAATAAATATGATTTTGTACATGGTAACTCCAAGTTTATAAGCCTAGCTCTGTAACACTGGCATTCTTTTTCAATGCAGAGATTTTTTTATGATTTAATTTGATCTACAACTATTTTCAGCTTTATCGCCCAAGAAACAAATATTATTATGAAACTCTTTTTATAGTTTTTTTTAGTCCTGGCTTGCTTGCTAAACTGTCTTCTTGTTCAGACAATAGTGGAGTTAAACTTTATTTTATTTTATATTACTCTACATAGTATTGTGCATTTACTTATTAAAAATTTCTTTGAAAAAAGTATTTGAAATTGATGTAAATGAAATGATTAAATTGCTACCTACTAAGAAATATCAGTGTCAAGACATCAAAAAAGGTAAACAAAACATTCAAACATGAAGTTAATGACAATTTTGATGGTGAAAGCAGTGAAGATAGCAAAAATCATAAGAACATTAAGGAAGTAAAGATAATGGCAACAATACATCAATTCTGCCATATATATGTTTGAGCCAGTTGGGGTGAATGATGGGAAAGTATAGGCTGAAGCTGAAGATACTATTACCAACAATTTAGAGACCTAATGTTTGTTCTTCCATACTCTCAACCTCTTGTGTCAATGAAGTAATTGGCACCCAAAATATATAAGGATAAATACAGGTCCCATCTGACTGAAATTTTGTTATAATTTGAATTAAGATAATCAGAAAATGTAGAATGCAAAGTGATTATTTAATAACAATATTTTTAAGAGGATAGCAAACATGAAGGTACAAGATAGTGACACATTAGTTCCAGGTGGATATGACCCCTCCAAATAACAACTTCCTTTTAAATAGGACTTTTTTTTTCTGTGCATGGAATGATTTTACATTGATCTGATCTCCCGTGAACAACTTCCTGACAGATGCGACATGTGACCTTGATATTTGGACAGAAGGTCGAATGACAACTTCTCTATAATGACTTTTCTTCATATCAATAATGTAATTTAGAGACACATGAATACAATATGAAACAGAGAGGTCACATAACTGGAAATTGCTTGACAGCTTAGTATATGTATTTTGGTACCCCGGGGTGTTCAAGTCAAACTCTTTGGTAAATGCATGTAGGTATTTTGGTTTAAAAACTTTCAGGCCCTGAAAGATAACCAGGGACAGTCAGAACCTGCTGTTTGTCTTTGCCCTGCTTGCAGAATTAAGGTTTATTTTTTTAGTGAATGTAGTAGATTTTGAACTAGTGGCCTAGATGTTAAGTAACTTGATTACAATTCACTAGCGGGATGTGAAGATTATTAACCCTTTCGCGATGGGTCACAGGTGAAAAGCCATGTCATTACGTTTGTTGACTCGCATTCAAAATGTTATAGAACTATTATTTCATGAATTTATGTCAATAAATTTGATATCAAACTATAGATTATAATTCAAATTTTAGAACTATACATTACTCA